TTGCTTTTTGTGAATATTTTTGAAAGTTTCTTACCTGGAAATCCTGCAGGTGTGGTCTGTTGCAGACTGATAATCAGTTCCTCCCTTGTGCTTTCTAACCAGCCCTACCATCAGGAAAGAAAGAAGCTGATTGGTCGGCAGAAGGAAATTAAACTTGTTAGACATGTGAGATATGCTCCTACTCTTTAGTGCACTGTCCAGTCTCAGGTGCTGGGTGACAGGCCCTGCTCTGGGGACAATGTTCACTCTGCTCCCATTGGCTGGCATCAGCAGCTCTCTCCTCCTTGGCCTGAGTCTCCATTGCTGGGTAACAGGCCCGGTTTTGGACAGGGGCGGATCCAGAGTCTATTCTCGGGAGGGGCACTGCCAGAAAATTAAGTAGATCCCTGGATCCAGACAAGCCCATCTTCCCGTCTCCCCCGCTGTCAGAAACTGCATACAGCGTGTGCTGGTTACTACTTAAACCGGCGCGCTGTGTGCAGCTTCTGAGAAGAAACGCTATTAGCATAGCGAGGAAGCCGGCTACGCATTTTGCATTACTCACGCAACGCTAATAGCGTATCTTCTCAGAAGCTGCACACAGCGCGGCGGTTTAAGTAGTAACCAGCACGCTCTGTAGGCAGCTTCTGACAGCGGGAGAGACTGGAGACTGTGCTTGTCGGTGGATCCAGGGATCAGGTGAGTATTAAAAAACAAAAATGTGTTATTTTATGTTCCTGGGGACATGTAGGGCTCATTCACACTGGAATCGGCCGGCATGTACAGCTCCGTGCTGTGTGCACAGCCGTATCGGCCAGCTCCCGGGAAGGACAGGTGCTGCGTATGATTAGTATGCAGCCCCTGTCCTTCTCTATGGGTGTATGCAGCCGTACACCCCCCTACGCTCACCCGCCCTGCACGTTTGTGCTAGTGCATGTTTCCTTGCTCGGACGCAGACAGGATCCATCCTGTCAGCATACGGGTACGCTCACCCGCACCGACGTGCAGGATGGGTGAGCGCAGGGCGGCGTACGGCCGCGTAGTCCCATAGAGAAGAATGGGGGCTGTGTACTAATCACATGCAGCACCTGATACGCGATACGGCCGTGCACACAGCACAGAGCTTTACGTGCCGGCCGATTCCAGTGTGAATGAGCCCTTAAAAATGTTCCTGGATTTTAAAAAAAACTGGTCACCTTACCCTGGTGGTCAGTGGGGGCTCTGGTTGGTAGTGAGGGCTCTCCTGTGGCCGCACCAGCCAGTTTGCCCGCAGTAGATCCCGTCACTGAACCCCCTGCGCTAAATGAAGCCCCCGGCCGCAGGTGCAGTGGCTTCCTCCACCGCCTCTCTGCCACCTGCACCGCTACAGAAGCGCCTCTCTAATCGCGCAGCCGCTCGCTTCTCAAGGGTATACTGAGGCGATCCGGGCTGGCTGGAGCAGGCAGATGCGGCCCTCTAATCATGTATGTTAGACCGAGGGCCTCCCGAGTACCCCTTGAGGAGTGAGCTGCCGCACGATAAGAGAGCCGCATCTGTAGCGGTGCATGTGGCAGAGAGGCGGCAGTGGCTGCAGAACGTGGATGGAGAGTCGGGACACTATAATCTCCCCGTTGCCCCCCCCCTGGACCTGCCACTGGTTCTGGAGGCAATGCCACCTCTGTGCCCATTGGCCAGCGATAGCTCTCACTCTGTACATCATCCTCATTGCAGCATCTTGGAGCTGCTTTGTCTACCTCCTTTGGCCTGATTGGCCTGACCTCTAGTACTATATCTGAACATCACAAGCCCAGGACTCTGGGTTTGTGATACTTTGGTCTACACTAACCCCCATACTATGTTGAACCTGGATTCTGAAAGTAGAGGCTTTCCTTGACCCTAGTCTTGTACTGGATTACTCCATCATTTGCTGTCTGCCTTTACCTCTGCCTGACCATGAATTACATTTTGTCTATTGCCTGCTGTGACCTCAGACTGTCTTTGGATAATGCTTCATCTGCTGCTTGCCCTGACCTCAGACTGTATTTAAATTACGCTTCATCTGCTACCTGCCCTGACCTCAGACTATCTCTGAATTATGCATATCCTCTGCCATGGCTACCATCAACCACTAGGCTTGGCTATGACAAACTCACTGGCTGTTCTACAGTCCATGCTTAATATTGCTGAATACCACAGGTACTCTTTTCTTTACCCTCACTCGGTCCTTTGTGCCAACTGGCCAGAAACTATAGCATTGTGTAATAAGCCCTGAAGGCAACCAAGTACCAGTAGGTTATGCTTCACCTGTCAGCTATAGTTTCTATTTTCTGGAACTAGGGCCAGCATTACAAATCTGTTCTTTAATCAAATAATTCATACATCAGGGTTTTATTTCAAAACTGTAAAATGATGGTCACATGAGTTTTAGATACACCCTGGTATGGATGGGATAGTAAACTTTTAAAAGGTTCTCTCTGAGCAAAAGCAGTTTCTTGTCTGGACAGAACAGAAAAGTACATATAGCTGCCTGTGGAGATTGCCAAGTAATTTTTTTTATGCAAACATATGAACTATTGTGCAATATACTGTAGCTGCTTGGGGAGCTTACCAAGACATTATTCGTTATGCAAACACATGAACTATTGTGCAATATTTTATACTGAAAAATTAGGTCTACATGTTCTGTTTGCCATGTAGAAGAAGTAAATTGTATTTAAAAAATGTGGGAGTAATGCGGGAGTAAAACACTGGAACAAACAGCAAGCTGGTCATGTGTAAAACCTAGATGACAATCTGTATGAATAAATGAATAGTATGCACTCACAGCGGGACTCTTTGACAGATCTGACGGGCTCCCCGGTGGTCTGTGCGGGCTCCCTGGTGGTCAGTGCGGGCTCCCTGGTGGTCAGTGTGGGCTCCCTGGTGGTCAGTGAGGCCCTCTGGTGGTCAGTGCGGGCTCTCTGGTGGTCAGTGTGGCTTCACTGGTGGCCATTACGGGCTCTCTGGTGGTCAGTGAGGCTCTCTGGTGGTCGGTGTGGGCTCTGTAGTGGTCAGTGCGGGTTCACTGGTGGTCAGTGCAGACTCTTTGGTGATCAGTGTGGCTCTCTGGCAGCTTTGGCACATCTGGTGGCGCAGGGGACAAACTGACACTTCTGCCCTATGAAGAGGCTGAGGAGCCTCTCACCTAGCACAACAGAAGGCACGCAGTGACCCACTCAACAGGGGGTTGCGACACACTTTTTGGCCGTGACCCACAGGTTGAGAACCACTGCACTACACCAGGAGCAGCACACCAAGCATTGCCAATCTCCCCTGTCCCAGTCCCCCAACCTGTCTCACCACCACGATTAGTGCGCTTGTGCTTCCTTTATTTTTATTTTTTGTGCTGTATCATTCACTGACCCACATCGGCATTTTGGACAGTTCAGTATAGAGACAGAATTAAAATCTGCACTATACACATTTCACTGCTTGCACACTCTTGCATGTATTAACCTGTATGCAAACTATCCTAGATGTCCACATCAAGTACAGTATTCTTAATAACTGTTGCCAGCATGGTGAGTGTACAAAAAGGTAGAGAAATCTATCCGAAATTCCTGTTTCTGTTTCTGTGACAAAAACATCACATAATACAAAGCCGCAAGGAAAGCCTGTGATAGACAGACTGGTCAGCAGTCTAAGGGAGTTGTATTAGGGTGGAGGGGCTGGGAGCAAAGTGACTGATCTGAAGTCTGAATGGGTTATGATATTCCTCTAAAAGCCTGTGGGACAATTCCTGGATTTGAACAAGATCCTGGTGTTTTGTGGATTCAGGACATGTCTCACTGCCAACTGCTGGGACCCTTATTCCACCACACAACAGAAACACTATGCCAGCACTGTCAGAGTAATCCCCTGCCTGATAGATAGTACTTTCATAGTTCCAGTGCTGAGATCTCTTCTCAGAGCCAGTGGCACGGGGCACAGAAGTGTTGGACGTTCAAGTAAGTAAATTCACTAAGCAGTGGGGACAAGCACTAATCTTTGTAAGAAATTGAGGGAAAGCAGTGCTTTAATAAAGCGTCTGGTGGTCTCGTGTCAGTCACACTGGCACTGGTAGGCTGGGGACGTGGGTGTTGGGGGATATAAACACAGTACACAGAAAGGAAACAAAGTTTTCATAGGAAAGGAGGGGGTTGGTAGTGGGAGACTACAGGTAAGATGATACACACTTTCAAAAAGATGTAAAAATCATATGCCATTCAAATTTAATACAATAAGTAAACATCCCAAGCTTTATAACCCATATTCATGTGTAATGCCGGTCATAATGCTTTTAGATATGGACATATAAAAGACTACATTTTACATCCTGCAGAGTGCAGTCACTTGAGCAAGATAAATATAGTTGAGCTGGCTTTACTCTACTAATTACAGAAATGTCCATAGCCTGGCCACAGGTTCACATTAAATCTGAACTTTAGGCAGATATTTAAAAATGAATGCAGTTACATTTTTATTAAAGCAATCACTAAAATTACCAGGCTACATGCACTTTATTATCATTTACCTAACAGGCATGGTTTATAAACAAAGACATAGTAATAGTTGTCAGGATCAGTGGCATCCATCCTCAAGTGTAGTTATATGGGTTGTGGCCCCAGGGCAGACTTTGCCCCCCCCCCCATACTGTGACTAAACCGACAAGCCTACACTATAATAATATTAGTTTATGCAAAAGAAAGATCTCTTGAGATAGAGCTGTGGTCATTGATCCGGCTGCATATTACAACATCCCTTAGGCCACACAGAAAATGTAAAACACTGTGGGCTGCGGTAGATTGTGACCAAAAAAGGACCGGTATCAGCTGTGAATGCAGTCTCTGTCTCTCTGTGCTACTGCACCTGCCCTTATCAATACCTAGAACCACCTTCATTGTCATAACTTTTACTAAAACGAATGGAATACAAAATCTTTTTTAATAAGTTTCAGCATGGCATAGGAATTAATTACACTGTGTTGTTTCAGCTGGTTTAATTATATTGTTCATGTGAAAAGCAACAGGAGAAATGACTGATTAGGACCTGGTTGTAAATAGTTAATGGGTCATTAGCCCTGTGAACATGGTTTACGGGCATGGACAAAGTAATAGCTATCTTGATCACAGACGTCCTTCTCTGGAACTTTAGTAAATGGAATGACTTTTATTTTCATTATTTCATAACCAGCCTCCTTAAATGCTGCCTCCAGTTCTTTTCTACTAATAGGCAGACAGAAAAATTTATTTTGACCAACAAAGTAGTATGTACAGTTAAGTACACTCTGCAGTACTATGTGACCCCCTGGTTTAATTAAGCTCTTAAAATTCCTCAACACATTGGTGAAGGATTCTACATCTTTGCAGGCGGCTTCTAAGCAGAGGCAACTGATCAGGCAATCGGCTTGTGGCATCTTCACCGGGTCATATGGGTTCTCCTTCAGAGCATCACATTTCAGGACTTTTGTCACCATTCTCCTGAGTTTTTCTTCCTTCTTCTTACAGCTCTCATTGTCACTAAAAGAGCACAGTGTAGATTATGTTTTCTTAGTGTTATGATATATGATATGCAAACATTTAAAATAATGTCAATGCCAAATCAACACTAAAAATCTTGTCTCATTTAACATCCTCTGTCAATGCTGGACTGGGAAAGATAAGTTCCATCAATACATCAAGTTATTAGAAGCCATTATACCATCATCATTATTTAAATAGCATGCAGACTACATGTGATTTAATGCACTATGTTTGTTACAATTTATATTTATAAATGTACATATTTTTTCTACATTTGTTTGTGTGAAACATTTTGTAGGTTTCAGCTACTTTTATTACCTTCCAGAAAGTTACCATTACACCACTGTGCTTTAGGATGTATAAGACAAAATTCTCACTTGGACTTCATTTGCCATTTTCTCATGTGATAGCTATGGAAATAATATGGTAATGTGTAATTTACATTACTGAAGTTACCCCCATATCCAACAGTGGAGGTCTGGCAACTTTAGTAAAGTAAATATAAAGGTAGTTACAGTATTTAAGGTACAGTATATACAGGAGAGTCAGAGAAGAGCATAGAACTTACACCGGAGCATTATCCTAGTCACAACTATTACACATTTGTAACACACCTGTTACCTTCCAGCTCACACACCCTCTTGACAATATGAGTCCAGTCAAGTGCATCGGGATCCTTCTTCAGCCACTTCTGTAGCTGTGTTCGGTTTTGCTCAAGAAAGTCAGAAGTGATGATATTGTTAAAAGCTTCACAAGCCGAGAGAAGGTGGTAAATTGTGGGTCCAGCTCCAAAGTCAATTAATAGGTCTCCTTTAACACCACCTTGGGGGATGATAAAAAAAAACAAAAAAAATCAGCGATCTTTACTTTATAAGTGTAAATAAGTTAAGACAAAATCTCATTTATTATGATACCATAGTGGATAATGGATACAATATTTGTATCTGTGTTGTAGTCAGTTTGGAACTGTGTGTAACAAACTGAGAATCTTAATATCAAGCTGCTGGATGGGTTTTGTCCTTAGTTCTTTTCACCTCTCTCTTTTAAACAGCAGTTTATAATACAGATTGACCTAGGGGTGCAGATTGTTATTAATAATAATAATAATATTATTATTATTATACATGATTTATATAGTGCCAACAGATTGTGCAGCGCTTTACAATATAAGAGAAGACATGACAGTTACAATACAATTCAAGACAAGATGGTAAGCAGCGCCTTGCCAGTGAGGGCTTACAATCTAAAAGGGAGGGACACGTGATACATGAGGAGATAGCTGTGTGGGATGAATTGTTTGAGAACGTGATGGTTCAGTGGTTAGGTTGAAGTGGGATAGGCTTCCCTGAAGAGATGAGTCTTTAGGGATCGCCTAAAGGCAGTCAGAGTGTGAGATAGACAGACAGGTTGGTGTAAAGAGTTCCAGAGGTTGGGAGAGACTCTAGAGAAGTCCTAGAGGCGAATATGGGAGGAGTTGACGAGGGAAATGGAAAGCAGGAGGTATTTGGAAGAGTGGAGGGGACAGTTGGGGTTATATTTTGAGACAAGGTTTGAGATATATCCGGGGGCAGAGTTGTGGATGGCTTTGTAAGTGGTTGTTAATATTTTTAATTTTATCCTCTGGGCAAGTGGAAGCCAGTGGAGGGATTGGCAGAGGTGGGTTGCAGACACTGAGCGGTTGGTAAGGTGGATGAATCTAGCAGCTGCATTCATGATAGACTGAAGCTACTGCTGATCCTTCGGCTAGCTTTGTGAATAACCCCCCTAGTTTTCCGCCACAGTCGCTCAAGAGTGCGGCTATGTCTTTTTAGATGTCTGGTTACTTCTGTTTGCCGCGGTTGTAGTGGACGTGGTCTAAGTCGGCGGCAGATTGCGCAAACTTTCCAACAGTAACTTAAAGTGACATTAAACTCTCAGATTTTTTAACATAAAACAATACTGTAATGTGTGCCTTACTGTAATCCATGGTTGTTTCCCTTCTCTTTGCTGCTCTTCCTTTTAAATCTGTATCTGTTCTCATGCTCTGCAGAACTTCTGTTTTGCAGCAGACTGCCTTGTCTCAGGAATGGATACACGGTCTCTGTGTGTACGTTTGTAACCTGAGCCAGCACTACAGAAAGAGGCACTCAGCTGCAAAGGGAAGTTCTCCCCAAGCATGAGAAGACATGAGGATTTAAAAGGAAGAGCAGCAAAGAGAAGGGAAACAACCATGGATTACAGTAAGGCACACATTACAGTATTGTTTTATGTTAAAAAATCTGAGGGTTTAATGTCACTTTAAACAAACTCGAAAACAGAAAATACTGTAATGTGCTATAACAGTAATACACTTCAAACGGGCTGAAATGTGGTTGTATGACTTTGAGGCATTGTGTTAATAGGCAAATGCAGCATGACCTCCTTTCAAGCAAAAAACTGCTTCAAGCTGCTTTTGAATATCCATCGACTTGTTAGGGGTACAAGGCCTTTTGATTCATACATATACGTTTAATGAAAATGACCATCACGATGACCCTTTTAACTCCCTCCATTTCTCCTTGTGTTGCTTCCTCTTTATATCAGTCTCCAACAGCAACACAGTGTGAAGGTTGTTCTTCCTCACATTTGTGCATAAGTTTAATGAGTGCCACCTTTAACATAAAAATGAAAGACATGCAGGTGACATGCTTTTTGTGGGACTGCCAATACCTGGTATGAAACAAACCCATATTTCTTTATTTCAGGCAGTTTCAGTTCTGTCTCTCAATTTCTTGCTCCACCCTCCTACATAAGTATTGAAGGCCGTGACACACTGCACGCGAAGCCGTGCAGAGCGAAGCAAAGCTATCCGGCACGGAGCTTTGCGTGCAGTGTGTGAGCTGAGTGCAGTCAGATGATTGACAGCACCTTCAGCCAATCGGCTCGTCCGTAACAACCTGCCAGCTGTCGCATCGTGACGCGCTGGTTTATACGCGCGAGCCGATTGGCTGAAGTCAAAATTGTTCATCTCGGCACGCTCAGCTCCGCGAGCTCTCGCAAGCTCAGCTGCCGAGCAGAAAATTACATGACACACTGCTCGCAAAGGCAGCGCGCCCCCGCTCCGCGCTGCTTCGCGTGCAGTGTGTCACGGCCTTAATTCTGTGTCCTTACAGACTTGAATCCCCCTGTCTGACCAATCAGCTCCTGCATGTATACTTGCAGGTCCGGTACTGTAACGCCTATACATATTATCACACACAACCAGTTATGGATACCAGCAACAACTTATAAAGTTATATAGATATGGGAACAATGTACAAACATTATAGACAAAGATTAGTGCTTACAGATATACTTAAATCTCAAAAAAATTATTTTTTTTAATTCTAAGAAGCAAAAAAAAAAACATGATGACTACACATTTTTGTGTTATATTATTCACAGTGATAAGACTAATAATGTATCAATTTTTTTTACCTGTAGTGAAAGTTTCATGAAGATTCCGTAATACAAAATCAACCCATTCTTCAGTTATCGTTCCTTCGGACTGATAATATGCTTTGTAATAATCTAAAGGGTCAAACTTATCAATGTAGGTCTGAGATGATGTTAATGGTGTTGCCATGTTGATCTCCTCTCCAAGAGAGTCAAGGTAGCTTGATTCTATGAAAGTACAGCAGAATGGCACTAAAACAGGAATTATATTTATTTTGCAATATATGTGATAGATAAAAGGGAAGGACTTTGTTCATTTCAGTTAAATTATTACCACTAAGTAAATATTCAAAGATAAAAATCTGTTTTCCAGCACAGTTAGAGAGAATGCAAACACCTTTAAAAAATTTGCAACGTTGCAGGCATATTTAAAAAATCACAGACTAGCATAAATGTTTTATTAGTGTTCTATAAGGAGCACCCTGAGTGAAGAACCATAAGCAGGACAGATATATTTACTGACGTGTGTTACTATTTGTAACTGGAAAATGGTTACAACTAACACGTTTCAGGTGATTTGGGCTCCCCCTTCTTCAGGGCTTTTAGTAATAATACCTGGTGTTGCCATGGAACTTTAGTGTGTTGTACTGAAGTTACACTGATTAATTTTTACTTACAGAGTTTGAAAGAGTCTCTAAAAGTGGTTTCATTTCAGTGCCCAACATTACCCTTAAAAGCTCTGAAAAAGGGAGTCCAAATCCCTTGGAATGCATTGAATGTATACCTTTTACTGGTTATAAATAAGTCTGGAACAAAATCTCTGCAGCATCTGAATCTTCCCTTGAGGCTCTCCTGATCGCATACACACAAAACTACCTGAGCAATCAGCACCCTGCCTGCTACCTTTAGAATTAGAGCAGTCCAGGATCCACACATTTTCCAAAATATGGATCCCTCCCAGCACTGTGACCCAACCCAACAATTAATAATTTATTTTGCTTAGTTAGTAGTAGTTAATCGTATGTAACTGGAGTTGTTCTTTATGTTGAATACATTTCATTACTCACCTAAGCAGTTTCAGTATTAACCCTTTACTGACAACGCTTCAGAAATGTTTTTAGTTCCTGGGGATCGGAGCGATTTTGTCATTCTTGTTTAACCATAATTTTTTCCATCTTCCTCATTCATTGCACCCCTTACAAAGTATATACCATTTTGTAAAGGACAAAATTGACTTTAATTTGATGTGCATATATAAATTCTTATTTTTTTTGTACAATTGCACATTTCCCTGTATGTATTGTGTTCTTGTTTGTAATATGATGAAAATCTCAATAAACTCATTGTTAAAAAAAAAAAATCTTATTTAAAAAAAAATATAAAATACAAAAAAAATGGAAAAAAATATTTTTCACAGTTTTGGCATTAATAATGAGTACATAATTAATGTAGCTAACAGAAAGTAATTCATAATAAATGTTTTATTTGTCCTGATTTATAGGGTACATCATATGTCTGGGATTTCAGGTTATTTTGGGAGTTATAGGTCACAAAATACAATTTTAGTGTGGAACAATTCTAGAATGTGGTATGTATGTCTCCTAACTTTAATAGCCCCCTTGGCACTATATTTTGTTAATAATTTTTTAAATAAACTTACCGTATATACTCGAGTATAAGCCAAGTTTTTCAGCCCATTTTTTTTCCTGAAAAGTGCCCCCCTCGGCTTATACTCGAGTCAGCATCTCAGTGGTCAGGTTTCATCCTTTTTTAACTGTTTAAAACTTTTTTAAAAACATGGGGAGACTCAAGGATTATTTTTTTATTCACAAGAGCTTTAGATACTTAGGGGTCTATTCAAGAAAGCAGCCGAAGGATCTAGCCGTAGCTTCGGCTGATCCTTCGGCCCCAGGACCCCTTCGGTTCAGGGCTGCTGTAGCACGTACAGCTCCCGAACTTGGCCGATCGGCTCAGTCGAGTCGAACGCATATGCCTCGGCACGGCTGAGCCGCGCTCAAAGCCGAAGCTGGCAGAGCGGCCGGCCATTTGCCGGCCGACAGCCTGCTTCTGACAGCTGGGCGGAGCCAGCCGACTGATTGTCAGCAGCAGAAGGTGGGTACAATAGCTAGATGCTATTGGCTATTGAAAATTGAAATAGCCAATAGGAATCTATTTTTTTTTTTTTCTATTCTGACACGGCTCCGTGTCAAAATAAAGAAAAAGAAGGAAAAAGCAGTGTTTCTCTCCTTGGGGCGGCCGGGAGTGGGAGACTCCCGGAGCGCCGGGAGAGTTTTTTTTTTCTTTTGTTTGATGACAGCAGAACCGCCGGCCAATAGAAAACAGTTGGGTGGAGCTAGCTGTCACTGCTAGCTCCGCACAATCGTTTTCTATTTATTTTTTTCTATTTTTTAAACTCACTGCTGTTCGGCATCTATAAGAATAGACCGAACAGCAGCAAGTAGCCTTCTGGAGGTTCGGCTGAGTGGAATTCCTTCTGCACTTCGGGTCGACCAACAGATGTTGGATCGGCTGAGTGGAACTCCTTCTGCACTTCGGGTCAGTTGAAATCAGCCGTACCAGCCTGAAGTGAATAGCCGAACAGCGTTCGGCTCACTTCACTTTAGGTCGGTCATTCACTCGGCTGCCTACAGCAGCTTAGTGAATAGGCCCCTTAGTATTCCGAGGAGACACTGTATTCTCCTCAGGGATACTTTGTATGTTTTTGTAGCACACTGATCCGGCTTGCCCAGCTCAGTGTGATGAGCTGCAAGCGAGATCAGTGGCTTTAACAGCCCTGTGATCACTGCGATTGGCTATCGCATTGATTACAGTGCTGTGACCCCCTGATTTGCTGTTGGGTGTCTGCCTCAGACACCGAGGGACTCAGCATGATGGAATTATTCTGTCACCGGTCTTTAACCATTTGGAAAATGTTGGCGGAATAATCCCGCCATCGGTCGGTAATGAATGTCAGTAAAATACAGTAATTATCACCCAAAACAAATGCTAAGTAAGTTGGTATTGCAATCGGCTATGCACATCTATGACCAAGCTCATGGTAATAGATTTAGTGCTACAACTGGACTAACCTTAACATCATCTTGAAGCCACTAGCCAATGGTTTCCATATAAAAATTTGGTTCACAGTAACTGACACATTGATTAACCAAATGTCATTTTAGATATCTTCATCTTCCCTAATATTTTCTTTATTGTGATTTATGAAAAAAGACCCAAATCACAGAGATGTCTGACAGGTGTTGGAGATGTGGTATAGAAGAGAGAACATATTTGCATATTTGGTGGAGTTGTCCTAGATTACAACCATTCTGGGAGTCAGTGTTTGAAATGTATCGCTTTGTGGAGGGAACAAATATTGAAAAAGATCCCCTAATTGCATTATTAACATTGATACCAGGTCCAAAAAAAAAAAAATGATATTCTAAGATTCATGCTAGTAGCTGCCAAAATACGTATATCACGGGGATGAAAGTCAACAGTCCCACCCTCACTAGAAAACTGGACAAATATTATGGAAGAAATAAGGTATATGGAGGAACTAAGCGCAAAGGATATAGATAGGAACGATAGCTATAAAAAGATATGGGAGAAATGGGTATTGTTTAGACAATCAGAGGAATTTGAGAAAATGTTAAGAGAAAGATAAAGCCAGTAACTGAAAAAGACCAAGGGGTAATGCATGAATGGCCAAATAGGAAAAATACACTAACAACTAGAAAGACTTTTGGGTAAAAATAGTATATGACCTGCATGAATGAAAGATGGAAACGAATGATGAAGGTTTCCAGGAGAGGGGGAGGAATGGGAGGATGGGAGGAAGAGGGGAGGACACAAGGCATATCTAGATGAAGTAAAAAAACGGCCGGCCAGGAGCTCTCTAGATCTGAGCGGGCGTCTTTAGACGTCCGCTCAGACACGCCCCCAGACACGCCCCCCTCCATTGTCCCGCTGATCCCGGGCTCCGCTGTGCCCGGTGCGAGCCCGGGATCAGCATGTCGCCTGTGACACAGGGGATCAGAGAGAGCTTGGTACACGAGCTCCCTCCGGTCCCCTCTCCTCTGAAAGAATGCGGAAGTGTTGTATAATATATCACTTCCGCATTCTTGTGTCACTCTCCAGCTTCAGAAGCTGGAAAGAAGCTGATGGAGCAGATCTCTGCTTCATCAGCTTCTTTTGGGGGGTCCTAGGTGACATTAGGGGTCTTGGAGACCCCTGATGTCTCCATAAAGAGGACCTGTCACATATTTTGCTATCACATAGGGGGGGTTTATTAGCCCCCGTATGTGATAGCAATAAAGTTTAGTGAAAAAAAGGAAAAAAAAATTTAAGTCCCCCCCAAAAAATGTTAAGTTACACATAAAAAAGAATAATAAAAACATTTTTTTTGATTAAAGTCCCCACCCATACATACACGCATGCATACATGCGTCGGGGGCGCATACGTGCAAAAAAGACGATTGCGCCCATTACGCGCACATGTTACATATCGCTGCGAACGTCGCAGTGAGAGCAATAAGTCTAGGGCCATCAATCACTGATAAGACTAAACTGATGAGCGGTAAAAATGTTTAAAGCGTCGCCTATGGCTAATTTTGGTTTCTGCGATGTCGAGGGTGCGCGCAATTTTAAAGCTTGACATGTTTGGTGTCTATTTAACCGACGTGACCCGATCTTTTATATTTGACCAAAAAACTGGGTAATAATAAATGTTTCCTAACAT